TTTAAATCATTATATTATTAGAATTTCAGTCATTTATTTTAGATTTTGTAGTATCCTAAATTTTATGAAACGTTTTTGGCAAATATTTTCAATTATTTGAATACAATTTTTTATTGTTTATGCACATTTTGATACGTATTAGTCTTGTTTACATTGACGTGGCTTTTAAATCAACGAGCTATCAATTTGTAATGCAAATATATATCTTTTATTTTTATTATTTATGAATAAATTGACTTATTTTTGTAAATGTGGGTATTTTTTTAAATTACTTTTTAGTTTTAATTCGTAGTAATACAATAGCGTTGCCGACCATTCATCTAGCTCGCTGATATGTCGAACCTTTTGCATTTAACGAAAAATTCTTTACACTTGTGATTCGGACGCGACGCAAATGTGACATTCGAAAAAAAAAAAATCGAAATATACACACATACATCGTCTTCGTAGACGCTTTTAAGGTGGCGCATATTATATGTATGTAAAGATTTATATACATACAAGCAACGCTTGGAGAACTTTTACTGATTAGGATATCGCGTTTTCTCCTATTATATTGGTGGGATCGTACACATCATTTACTAAGCAAACAATGGCGGATACATTAAGCCGAACTACACTGACAATGAGTATGAATAGTATTTACGAAATCTGTACGCGCAACTAATTAGATGACTGTTCGTATTTTAACGAGGTAATATTTAATGTTTGATGTTTTCATCCATCACACACACATACACACACACACGCATCACTATACGCGTGTGCGTAAATACATATAGATAAATAATCACAGTGGAGATAACTGTGTTATATATCGATTGAGACCCAGCGAGCCTAGGGTCGGTTGGTGGTTGGAACGCATTTTCGGACATCGTGTAGTGCGCCTTGCGTTCGCTTCTTTTTGCTTGTGAAAATTTCGTTTGTCCAAATTTTCCTCATTCCGAGAAAGCCAGTTCGAGAAATTCATGAAATAGGAGAATAGTCAGGTGGTCGATATCAAAACGGTTCACATTGCAATCTTGGGCTTTTAATTATCCACTACATGTGTAACAAAATAATGATTGAATTGCGAGATAGAAAGTCTATATACAATTTGCTCATTCCAGAATTTCGGTTTCATCGAGACGGAAGAAGAAACTAAAAAAATTCCGATCGTTCTCGTAAAGCCGAAACTATACTATTAGCTCTTAATTTTTGCGTTTTAATACAGAGCATATTACGCCTAGAGTTATTTAGTTTAACGCATTATTTCGCCGAGTAAAATACGTCCAACGACCACTGCCCTTCGTGGAGACACAAGAGCGGTGGCCCTTTTCGTGTCTGGTGCTTCTTTTTTGATCGGGACTAGCCAGGAGGGTCATCGCGAAGCATAATATGACAAGTAGTCAGCGTATTTTATCGAGCTGAATAAGAGAAGAAAAACAAATCATTAATAACAATCATGCGTTTTGCTGTTTCTCCTTGCGAGTCGCGTGCTCGCACGCTTCAACTCGATTTGGAAATATTGCCGTGACACTTAGGCTTAGGATAAAAAAAAACGGACAAAACAAAATCTTATTAAAAGATAAAAGAAGTGTCAAAGAGAGTACTGCTACAATTATCACTAATTAACTATTAACTATTAACGCGTTAGTATCACTTAAAATGAGAGAGGACTACAGGATAAGAGAGAAAGAGCGAGATAAATAGAGAAAACTGTACTGATGTTATTAATTTCTATTTGTAATTAATTAATTAATTAATTAATTGTCACCAGCCATGGCTTTACTATTTGCTTAATAAAATACTATATTGACAGCTTCTTGAGGCTACGGAATATTGAGGCGCGTGCGACGGAGCGAGGGTAGCTTAGATTTAATAAAGTGGGCGTGATTAAACGTAACTAGGCTCGATCGATGGGAGTGAGAAATTAATTGGTATCGTTATATCGCTGTAAGAATCCTGCGCAGCCGAATGTTGCGTGCGGGTATCGAGTGTGAGAACGAAAGATCGGCGCGGCAAAGATTTCGGACTCGGTTAGGTAGATAAATAGACGTATATAAGACGAATCTGGAATAAGACTGGGAATTAATTAAATCACAATCCTCGGAATAATTAATTAGGGAAGCTGGCTGTAAGGTCACAAACGACTGTTCGCGTTTATTGTTATTAATAGTTAATGGGCTATCTCTAATGTCTTACGGTCTAGTTTACTCGATAAATGGACAAAAAAGGAAGTTGTTTAAATAAAACTCGTTACCTCCGCCTAAGGATGATAGCTGTTACGAAAAAGCAATCGTAAGGTTAACTGGGTAAGGCCGAAATCATGTTAAAATAATAACGAGGATAGAAAGTACACACCGAAAGTGCTACACACACATCTCTTTTTTTCGAACGATGTAACGCGAGATAATTACGGAAAGTGAAAGACAGAGAGAAGGGATATAATTGTAAAGAAAATCTACCCCTTTTTCTCAATCATCGATCGATCAATTTATTTAATTATATTACCTTCTTCTCGAGTGCGGTTCTCGACATTGCATCACATTACGATCGATGACGGCTTTAAATATATTTAGCTGGCAAATGTTGGAATAAATCAATCTTTTCAAGCACTTAAAGCAAATACTATAAAAAAAAAAATAAAAAAATAAATAATAAATTGCTCTAGCTACGCGTGAAACAAAGTGAAACCGCTTATTTTCATTCTCTCATATACCGATCAGAAAACGTTATTTCGATATTTGCATGGGCTCTTTTTGAAATCGTGTCTTAAAATCGGCGACGTTAGACGTCGCGATCAGGGATGACAGAAGAAGACAGATGGGATGAAAGATGAATGAATGTGGAAACTTGGGCGAGACGTCATAGGGGTAAATCGATATAATTATTGATTAAGGGATAAGTTGTGTACAAATGTATTATAAATTAACGATTATATATCTCAGAGTACCTTAACGCAGAAAGGAAAAAAAATAATTAATGAAACTCACTTGACTCGTTTTAATTATCATAAACACAATATTATATATATAGAGACCCGTCGTCCCGCTTCTTTCGACAGCGTGGACGAGGGAGAGTACGGCGCATAGGGTCAAAATAATTAAGGTATCGATTATTATCTAATTAATTAATTAAACTTGTAACTTTCGAAATAAGGCCGTTGTAGACAAGTATTAAAATAGGAAAAAGTGAAATATTTTTAATGAAACAACAAATGCCAACCATTGTGTTCTCGTGAGAATCATAATTATTCCGTAATTCTTAAGTAAAACAAAAAAGAAAAGCGTATCTAAGTCGTTGATTATATAAGTCGTTGTAATTTCATTTTTTTGTTAGAGAGCAAGATGACGGGAGAAAGTAAAGTGGGATATATGATAAATCACAGGCAGAATGAAACGCGAATGAAACAAATACTTGTGCAAGTGAAGCAGAAGAATGTGAGTGATTGATGAGATTTTAATGATTATGAATTGATAAGTGTGATGATTGAGTGACTGATGACGTGCGGTGGATCGAAGGAATCGAATAAATTCGTCTTTTTTTTCAATGAATCTTTTGACACCAAAATTTATTAAAGAATTAATAAATAAAATAATTAATTAATATTGTTTTATTTGTCGATTATCTCTTGCTAAAAAAGGCATGTTATTTATTCTCGAATATCTCGAAGTATCTTTGTCTTTAATCCGCGATGCCGATTGGTTTCGTCATAGTGTTTACTTCGTGAGCGGCTGTCATTGCATATTTTGACAGTTGTATGTATCGAGGGGTTATAGTGTAGTGACAGTATATGACACGCTGGAGGTGGTCGAGGAGTGTGTGTATCTGGGACACATTCTCAAACAAAGGAAAGAAAACCAGACTGCAGAAATCACCAGAAGAGTGGGATTGTCGTGGGCAGCTTTTGGTAAACTGAGTCACGTTCTCAAAAACAGAAAAATCCCGAACCTTAAATGAAAAGTGTTCGAGGCATGCATACTCGCCGTAATGACCTACGGTATGGAGACTGCTACAATAACAAAGAGCAGTGCTGGCCGCCTGAGAACATGTCAGAGAGCAATGGAAAGGTCTATGTTGGGGATTAGCCTACTAGATCGAATAAAAAACGAGGAGATCCGCGAGAATATTGGAGTTACAGACGTTCTCGAGCAAATAGCAAAGTTAAAATGGCGCTGGACGGGACATATCGCGAGGCAAAACAACAGCCGATGGACGAAGCGAATAATGCAGTGGAGACCGAGGATGACAAAGAGAAGCATAGGGAGACCCCAATTGCGGTGGGTGGACGACATCCGCAGAGTGGCAGGGAGGAACTGGCTAATGGCAGCCAATGACAGACAACAGTGGAAGATTATGGAAGAGGCCTACGTTTAGGAGTGGACGAAAATGGGCTGAGGAAGAAGAAGACAGTATACAATGTATATTAAAGGATTTGATGTATTTAATAATTAAAATCTGATGAATAAGTGTTTATTAATTTTGCGATTGAGTGGTTTTGATTACAGTTTTTCAGTTTCTTAGAAAATGAAATAGAAATTCGGTAAATTAAAATTATGTATATATGTATAAAAGTATGTATATATAGAAATTTAGTTAATTTAGATTTTTAGATTATGTACATATTTCCATTATAAGATACAATACCGAATTTGAAATCAATATTTACTAATATTACAGAACATCTATGTTAAATATAACAACAAAGAAAATCGATAACTGTAATACTGACAACAAGATTTTGAAGGAGATGATTGAAAATTTAAATAATAATATAGAAATAATGAATGATACAAACACAAAATCGATATGTACGATTAGCAATAATATTAATACTGAAGAGATAATATTAATACAGTTATATTCCAAAAGAAGTTTATAAAACGCTTGATACTAATTTAATGAAACTTGTAGAAAGAGATGGAAAGTACAATTCTGGAATTCAGTCATGTCAAATTTAATGTCAAGACATAATAAAAATTTCATAAATTAAAATTATGTCAGTGCATAATAGAAATTCGATGAATTAAAATTACGTCAAGACATAATAATAATTCAAGAATTTTTATTCCGTATTGTCATTCATTAAAATGGTTAGCGAAGTGGAAACTCAACCGGATCATACAAGAGACGCATGATTCCTTCGAGGATGCCTGCGCAGTCAAAGATCTAGTGTTACTATATGTGCAGGAAAATAAAATCACATATGACGTAGTGTACAAACAACCTGGCGAATGTTGGAACATTGGAATGGAAAATACTCTTTTTAACACCTAAATTCGCATAAAGAGGAAGAACCTCTACGAAAGATCATATCATGTGATCTAATTAAAAATTAATAAAAAATAATGAAGAGCGACTCTCGAAATTGCGCGATGATTAATAACATAATATATCCGTCCCAGAAAACCGCCATTGCAAAAGAAAAAGATGACAACAATGATAGCGGTTACATAACCGATAGTTCTTTCGAAGACGAGCAGGAGAATTTGTCGGAAAAAAAACAAGCGGACGTGTACCAGATGCCAAATGATATATTATGTCGACGAGACTGGCGAGTACTTGAAGAAGGACTGTTGCTCTTATCATTGGGGCAAATTGCATGACAGAAGATACAACGAAGAACAATACTGGACATGCTGTAACAAATTGAAATTGTCATTGGGCTGCACGAAGGCGAACGGACATGTGTGGAACGGCTTTACGAAACCTGGAATAAACGGACCCTTCGCGGGTTACGTATATACCGAATCGTCTAAAGATAAACAGAATCACACCGTCTATGCTCTGGATTGCGAGATGTGCTACACGCGACATGGTTTCGAGCTCATCAAAGTCACCGTTGTAAATTTGTGTGGCAAAATAGTATACAACAAGTTCGTCAAGCCGAGCAGCGAAATCATCGATTACAATACTCGATTCAGCGGCATTACGGAACAGGATTTGTTGGATGTCACCACGACCTTCGAAGATGTTCAGAAAGAACTGAAGACCATAATCTACGCTGAGACGATTATATTCGGTCATAATCTAGGCAGCGACTTCAGAATGCTGCGCTTGTTCCACGATAAAATCATCGATACTTCCGTGCTGTTCCCACATAGTAAACCGTTTCCGTATTGTCATTCATTAAAATGGTTAGCGAAGTGGAAACTCAACCGGATCATACAAGAGACGCATGATTCCTTCGAGGATGCCTGCGCAGTCAAAGATCTAGTGTTACTATATGTGCAGGAAAATAAAATCACATATGACGTAGTGTACAAACAACCTGGCGAATGTTGGAACATTGGAATGGAAAATACTCTTTTTAACACCTAAATTCGCATAAAGAGGAAGAACTTCTATGAAAGATCATATCATGTGATCTAATTAAAAATTAATAAAAAATAATGAAGAGCGCGTAACAGCATTAATTTGTATGAGATAAAGATGAATGTAGGAACGCGCGCTACATTCTTATAAAGTCTGAACGCAATTTCAGTAAGAACGAAAGCAATGGTCTCAATATTGGCAGCGCATCATTACCAGGAATCAGCGGGAATGATTCAACTTCTAGCGCCGAGACATATTAAAGTAAAATTACAAAGTGTCGAGACATAATAAAACTTCGATGAATTACTATTACCTCGAGACATAATAAAAATTCGATGAATTAAAATTATGTCGAGAGATAATAAAAATTCGATGAATTAAAATTATGTCGAGACTTAATAACAATTCGATGAATTAAAATTATGTCGAAACATAATAATAATTCAATAATTTTTATTATGTCGAGACATAATATAATTTTAATAAATTAAAATTATATCGAAACATAATAAAATTCGATGATAAGTTAATAATTGAAGATCTTTCGCTTGCTAGTTTGAGATAAATAATGCATAAATTAAGACTTTTGAGAAATAGTATGAAAAAAAAGACGAATAAATCCAATTTCTCGAACAGAAAAGTCGGTGTGGAAGAATCAATATTGTGAGAAAGAGCGAGCAAAAGGGCTGTATGATTGCACGAATGATTACGAGACGACGAGTCAGCATAAGCGTAAATATTCGACATTGACAACCAAACGACAGACACACACATATATATATATATATATATATATACCTACACACACTGAGAGAGACGTTCATACACACACTTTCTAGTAATACAGGAGCATAGATTGTACGGGGTACAAGTTGACGCGCGATCACGCGCGTCGAAATCAGGTTTAAGGTTTGCCAAATCTTACTAAGTAAAAAAAACCACGCGAAACAGAGTAAAGTTTATTAAGCTGCATTACGTATAGTATGTAGGAAGTATTTGCATTAAAGGAAAAAAAACATAGCTAAAAACCGTTAGTGCTTATTAAAACGAAGATGTGATGAAGAGTGCCGGTGCAATATTTCCAAATCGACGTCCCTCGAACCTGCCGTTCGTTCGGAAGATCGAACGAAAGAGAGAAAAGAAAAAATTGCGGTCACAAATCAAACAAAATAAAAAAAAAGAGAGATCCTCGATCATTAGTGCATTTCCCGCGCGTTTTTGTGTCTCTATTTTTCTTTTCGCCACATATCTTTTTGTCGATGCAACATTTTGTAGGTTCGTAGAGGGCATGTGTGCGTGACGTGTCAGTCGTCAAGAGAGGTCAAGGAACGGTCGTTGAATCGAACTCGACTGTGTGCCAGGACATTAGGCATCCTGCGTGTAGACAAGAACATGGCGAGAGCGAGAGAGCGGAGGAGGAGATGGAGGCGGATTGACGGAGAGGGAGGATAATTGCCGGTGTAATTAAAAAGTAATTAACGATCGTTATCTAATTTTAGCGATGTTATCTCTGACTCGGTGAACGAGGGGGAGACCGCGAAGGATAGATGTGGACGAACGACAAACGGAGGGAGGATTTTTCGAGAATTTTAAAAAATTTTAATACACTGAAAAAATATTTGTGTAAAATTACGTAAATATCCTGGCTTTTTTCCGACCCAGCACAATCATGCAATATTTGCTACTCGTATGGAAGATTACAGATTATATGTAATTTCATATGAAAAGTATTTTCAAGAATAAAAATATTCTACTACGAACATGGAATTACACATAGGAAATGCTACTAATGTATAAATGCCAAATGCTATAAAATAATGTTTTGAATAAAATAGATAAATGCTTATAAATTAAGTTCTTATAAAGTAAAAATATTAAATTTAAAATTACCAATGATTTTTACATAAAAATAGTAATTTTACCTTCGTATATGCATTTCAAGGGTGCATATATTATATGTATATGTGTACACATCAGTACAATTAATGACACAGACATTTAAGTCTATTCTTGTTTTGCGTGAGTAAACGGGTGAATCAAAAGTCATTATTACAGATCTGTATTTTGTTGCAAACACCATGTTTACTTTTTTCCTTATAATTAAAATACCTTTTTGTTTGGAGTCCCCAAAAGCTTTTGCCAGAGACTTTATCCTTCCTTTATTTCATTAAACTTAATACATTAGATCTTGAAAAATCTAAAACGCAACACGTGAGCAGACGGTACACTTTAACGAAACACTTGACCTATATAAGTTTTTATACTTATAATTTCGTGTGGGGGTGGGGGAGGTTTGTTCGAGTTTGCGTTTCACTATACTAGATATTCGTTTTGACAACTTATTTTTCTCCTCAATTCCTACTACTGGGATCTGGGTGGATTTGAACCTGCGTTAAAACGCCCCCCCTTTTTTTTTCGGTGTTTCTTTCAAAATCTGGAATAAAAATAATTACAGTGAAAATTTAGTAATTTTTCCAGTTTTGGACAAGTAATTTCCATGTAAAAGTACATGGAACTAATTGTTTGAATGTAATTTTTTCAGTGTATAAAATTCTCATATACGTCATCATAATCGGAGTGACATAAGATATCGTAGACGTATGAGCGTAAAAATATCGAGCGCGGGTGACTTAACTGGGATTGTGTAATGGAAAGAATACATTACGTGATATATAATAATAATAAAAAAATCGGAGTGAAAACGAGTTATTAAGAATTGCGTATCAAAACAGATCGGACACGAGCAGGAATTTGAAACGTCGAGAGGGAGAAGTGTCGACGTCAGTTATGAAACAGGTACTTCAAAAGTGGATCACGTTGATGATTGGTGTAGATTAGACTCGAGTTAGAGGTAAAAGGATCGAGGAGAATATTTGGAAGAGACTTGAAGATCGAATAGATGTAAAAGTGTGAATCAAAGTTAGGAACGCGTATTTGAGGAAAAGATGTGCGAGAAAAACATGTGTGCATTCGTGTCTTTTTACAGCGATCTTTGATGTAGTTTCGACTTCGATGTAATTAATCCATTAAAGGTGATAGGATCATTTCAGAGAAGGAGAAGATCGATGTCGACTCGTTCCGCAGATTTCCTCTCGTTGTTTCCCCTTGTTTTTGACACATACCGATACATAATACATATACTTGCCGAGGAGAGTTAAGAAACAAGTCAAATCACTCGCGAATTGTTCGATATTTTTATCCATCTGCAATTGATTGTCGATCAAGTATAAGAAATATGTAAGAATCTTCTTTCGATATAAGAAATATATTTTACGACGTAATATATATTTCTTAGATCCAATTAATTTACGTACTCGTAATTGAGGGAATAACACGCAACAATTCGTGAGTAACTTGTTTTTTAATGTTTTTTTTCGGTAAATAAGTACAAACAAACACACATACAATACATGCCAAGTCTCATTACGTAGATAGATACAAATACATGTTTTTATCACACGCTATACATCATACGAGTACGTCATACACCATAAGCTCTTACTTCCTCCTCCCACTCTCGACGAGACATAAAATAACAGTACTATTATGATAGTTACTGTATACTACTTATTATTATAATATTATATATACTTATACTTATTACTATTACGAACTATTACAACTACTACTTATATTATTATTATGATTATTACTGCTATTATTATTACTATTATTATTATTATCATTGAGTACACACACATATAAATATATATATAAATATATTAATATACTTAATGGTGTTTCTAGTAGAATAATTGATTAATTGATACTTAAGATATATTAATAATATTAATATAATATTATATATATATATATATAAATATATATACATATATAATGATGATAAGTTGATATGCTGATTACTATGATATAATATAGAGAAAAGAATGGATCATTATTCGTAAAAATACACACTGGTATAGATTATGAGGAATGATTAAATAGAAAATAATATTGATGAAAAAAAGAGTTTTATCAATTGCATATTATCAATCGAATTACTTTCGATCCCTTCACTTAAATTATAGATCGTATCTCTTACGTAATTACTTATAGTTTATTATTTTCCTATCATGCGCTTGAAAGACTTAAAACACTGCACGGCATAAATATTTTTCTTTTCAGTGGCGATTATATCATATATTAGAATATATTTAGGAGTTGTATAATCGCGGGATGTGTGTGAAATCTTCTTTCTTAAGCATCTTTTTTTCAAATAAGAAAAATATATTAATGTGCGAATGACAGCAAGCATGAGAGAGCGCGGGAGAAAAGAGATTACATGAGTTTGCTTAGATTCTTGATCTTGCAATCATGATGCGATCGACACCGATATGCGAGGTGACCTTCTACTTTCTTTTTGTCGCTTCTGTTTTGCAATTACCTCATGCATTGCGATTTCCACCGTGCATACGTGATCGTGGGCGCAAACGAGAAATGTCACTCATATGTATGTGTGTGTGTATATATATATATATATTACACAAATATATATATATATTTGTATATATATAATATATATATATATATACAAATTTAAATTCTCTTGGAGGATATCGCTTTTTTGATATCTTCCGCACAATATATATATATATATATATATTGTGCGGAAGATATCAAAAAAGCGATATCCTCCAAGAGAATTTAAATTTGACACTAATTTTTTAGAGCACGTGTTTTTTTTTACTTGAAAAACATTTTCTGCATACCGCAACAATTTTCGTATGCACGGCGTTTCTATCATTAACGAGAACAAAATTATAGAGAGGTGGTCCACTGTTAAAAAAAAAAAAAGATTTTAATTGAATGAATTTTTTTGGGGGGAGGGGAATTTTTGTTGATATCGATATTTAGAACGTATCCGAAACGGTGGAGAGAAGTTTTAAATTGGTGCAGTGTTTTATGCGCGTCCCATACTATATCCCGCCATGTTTTTTCGAATCTGAGACGTGCAATTTTATAATGAGAATAGCTCTCATATTGTAAATATATAATCTAACTTAACGAGAATTTCTTTCGCGTTTTTTTAAATTGCAATGATGTCTTTTGCATTTTTTTTTTTTAGATTGCAGAAAGTCTCAATTTCGAGTTGGCTTGGTATTGACATGTATATTGGCATGTGTATGTCAGTACATTTTTATATTTATGTGTTTAAAGATAAATAATTTACATAATTAATTTACACACATAATACTTAAAGTTACGTAAATGAAATAGTTTTTAGTTTTTTATAACTCCGTAATATAAAGATAGTTTGTATCATTTTAATCTTTAGTGCTGATCATAAATCGAAGCTTAATCTCTAAGTATATCGTAAAACTTAACCCATTAACCGGGCAGGCAATTAAAACATTTATCTGACATCCGTAATTTTAATATATATGTAATTTTCATACATTAGAATAATATAGTTTCATATATTAGTATAGATATAATTTATACGTATATGTAAATGACCGTCTCAAGGCCGTCTAACAATGAATCGATATCAAAATGGCACGAAGATAATTTTAGTTGAATATAATCAGAATAAATTTTTCGATAATACAATCTATGTATTATCTAAAAATTTATAATCCATAAGAGTTATTAATTTAATATAATGACAATCTATTATATTATCGTGTGTGGTGCTTTTAAATTACCTTCGCGTCATAATATATACTTAATTGATAATATATAATTATATTTAAATAATAATTTTAGATAAGAACTTAGACTAATAACGAATATATAATATAATATATAGTATAGTGGTAATGTTATGCAAACAAAACTCGGTTAAAGGGTTAAATTAGGAGCTTCGAGAGACTTCGTGTTCAGCTACTTAGTAAGGAGTAAGACCGTTCTCAAAGAGAAAAACGAATCTCTCTCCCCTTTAATTCCTTTCTTCTCATCTCGTACTATCCTTGACTGTTGCGAATCTTACTCGGTGCTTCTCGAGAGAAAGTGGCACTCGAGAAAAACGATGAAACGAGCTTTAACGATCTCTCCTTTCTTTTTCTCCCGCAGACGTCCTCCCGATCCCCAAATTCAAAAATGTCGAAACCGGAAGTCCGACCTTCATACCTAACGGAGACGCCGCCCCGGGTCCTCAACGATTCTCCTTGACCCAACACACGAATTACCATCCCTATAGACGCTAAAAAACACCGATGTCGTCCGAACGGCCGAGAAAAACAGAAACGAGAGAGAGAGAGAGAGAGAGATAGAGAGAGAGATCAGTTTCATAAGTGCGCGAATGGACGAGAGTGACAGAGAGCGAGAGAATGGATGCAAATAACTTGCTTGTAACTTCCGGCCGGAATCTCTACACGGGTATTACATATATATAGATATATATCTGTAGTTTGGATTATATATTACCATTTGTTAATTTTATAATACGGTGACTTTTTGGAGCTCGTTTCCAGCAATCGAGAGATTAGCGCGCAGTAAGATTATTAAATAAGAATTATGAAAATTAGTCTGGAATGAATGCGCTCGCGCGGTTTATACAGTAAGATTAGCTAAGCCACCGTATCCAATGTTAGCTGTACGATTTCATTATTAAGCTAACATTAAATTTTATCACTTAATCTTTAGAGTGTAGTAGCTTTTTGTAGTAAGTCCTAAAATATGTCTCGCTTTTTTTTATGGATATATACATACATGTGTTAGCTTTAATCGCGATAATGTCTCTATAAATGTTTTAAGGAATTAACAGTTAAAAATAATATAAGTCATTGAAAAAGATAAAAACACAAGATATATCCATTTAACGCTTTTCAATTGCAAATATTGCAAGTTAGCAATTCTACGACTAATATATCGTGAATATATTTATTTTGATATTTGACGAAAGAAAATTAAAAAACTCGATTTGTTACATCATTATTTTTATTATTCTCTCTATATATTAATATATAAATAATATAATTTAAATTCTTTATTTTCCTGTCAGAAATAGATAGAACGTCACAAATGATCCATTGAATGAGAAATTATTAAAGATAATTTTGATTGCTCTTATCAGATCACTGAATTAATTCAAGAAGGTAACGTTCTTTCGATGAGTGTCAATGATCTTTAATCGATAGATATTCTCGCGTAGATCCGAAGATGTCGTCTTTAATACAGGTGAAATTGAGTTGGAAAGCGTTAAAGGGAAATCGATAAATCGTCGACGTGATGGTGCTCCGGTTTTGTGTCTGCGCCTCGCTGTGAACGGATGTAAGGTCAGTGCGACCCGTTGACCCGCTTTTCGGACGTCCCTTTTTTTGCAAATTAATCACGAACTCTCGCGACTCGAAATTCGTTCGAATGCCCTATATGAGTCAACCGCTGTGATGCGCACTCGGATCTCTCGAACCCGGCAAGAAGATGTATGCAAAGCTTCTTTCGAGACCCTAGATCGGTGAGATTAGTCTGTTTGCTCTCGAATTCAAATTAATCCCCGCAAAATTCTGTCCATCTATCCGTCCATTCATCCATCTGTCCTTCCTGTGACCCGGATCGTTTCACGAGATACATATCCTATACATAATATACTACCACGACTATATTTTTTGCCTGCTTCCCTCTGATTTCACTTTAATTCGTCCGGATAAATACGCTTTCATGATTTCCTGCCAGTTTCTTTTCGTTTCTGTGTTCTTGTTTTGCTTTCTTTTACTGTTCTTTCTTTCTTTTTTTTCACGTGCATATGATTGTAGAAGAGTGATATTAGAGTATATTCCACTATATAAATTTTTTTAAGTACTTATAAATACAAGAAAATATATCTAATGAAAGGAAGGAAATACGCGTTAATCTTTTTTTGTTTGCACATTTTTTTATTCTTTCTTACTTTTGTTTCGAACGAATAATTTCTGGCATTAGAAAAAATCTATTATGAAAATTGATTTGTAAATTCGAGGCATTTCAATTTATAAAATATGATTTTTGTATATTGAAATTTTTTTTAAGCTAGTTTTTTTCTCATATTTTAATTTCGAAAGAACACATAGAAAATATATTTTTCATCTAACTTATTTATATCGTGGATCATACTTTTTACCCATAAGTAAAGGGGAACGTGCTAATTAAGAGCCAAACAACGCGGTAAACAATGCGCAAATTATTTTTTTTTTATTAAATATTGTACGTTTCGGTCTCAATTTCGATCACATTATCAATAATTGTCAAATATAGATAAAACTAAATCTTATCAAATGTAGATTTTATAGATTATTTCAAATTTTTTGTACAAATATAATACGGAATATATATTAAATTTTGTTAATGTAAAAATACATACGATAAAATAGATTGAATCATGCATGGTCTATCTGTGAATCTCAATAATTCTCACATTAAAGAAACTTATTGAGCTTCCTTTTTCTAGCTATTAAGGAAGAGATTACATTTTGTTGATTTTAATTAATTGTGCGGAAAATCTTGTAAAATGTTTAAACTGGATTTGAGTTCACAATCTGTGCTTTATAAGATTTATTTTTATTTATATTTGACAGTTGTTGATATTGGGACCGAAACATAAAAGTGCAATAAAATACTTGATAAGAAAAATTAATTTGCGTGCTGTTTATCGTGCTTGGCTCTTAATTAGTTGACTTCCCTCTATTTGTGGATATTCAGAGCCTTCTACTTCAGTTTTCATACTTTTTAGTTGGTTATTGAGTTATCAGTTTTACTATTATTCCATCTATTTAATTTTTTAAAATAATATTGACTTAAATTTATTGATTAAAATTGTCTTTATAATTACAATATGCTGTTATTTATAAAATGACATGCATTTATATCAAGCGATAAATTGTCTCGAATTATCTATTCGATTTTGAATTTGCGAAAGCCTCTCAGGGCTATTCTTCTAATTGCTCTTTCCATTCTCTTCTCTAAATCAATTTTGCTTTTTTGCAAATTCTATTCTTTAATTTTAACTCTTTGCAATTCTATATACGATATTAAGAATACTATCGCATCTTATCTAAACCCTACGATAATCTCTTAATAAACCGTACTTCTAATAATCTCAAATTAATATGGAAATCGTAAATGTAACTAAAATAAAAAATATTAAGTATAAAATATATATATATATATATATATATAAATTTTTTATTTTTAATATGTAAAATATCAAATTTATGTTGGTTAAATTCGTGGAGAATTTAAACGCGCCACAAAACAGATAAAAATATATTACTTTATTACAATATTGATTTGTTTTGAATGATCTATATATTAATTTGGATTGCAAAGAGTTAAGCTTCCTCCATTTTCCATATTCAATCATCAGACCACCTATTGAAGATCAGTCTTGAGTTATTGTAAAGTAACACGCGCCACTTCTGTACCACCTACTCCGGTTACGTATCCTCTCGCCACGTCCTGGCACGTAGTACTATGTTCTTTTGTGCGATTCTATGCAGGATATGGATCCTCGAGCGTTCCTGCTGCACCAGGAACAACGGACAACAACTACAGCGGTGGCCCCCAAAGGGGTTACACAGGAGAGAGATCATCGTCCGGTACCAACAATTATCATCCTTATCGTCGCTAGGAGGAATAAAACAAATTCAAACAAATAATATGCGCTTTGAACCTCCCATCTTTTCTTCTTAGTTATATGCAAATGCATAGCAAATGCACATGTGCATATAACTAACTATACTTATTACAATAAATGATTTATATTTAATCATACAATTCATTGAATTTTTTCTCTGAATTTTTCAATGGACTCAGTCAAGTCTGCGGTGAAGATTCGTAGAAAAAAATAGGTCGATTATATTCGCGTGAGCATGCATTACGCGTACACTCGATGAACAATATGCGACATTATCGATTTTGACCAAAGATACATATTTGATGGGAAGGATAAGAGAGAGAGAGAGAGGAGGAGATAGATGAAAAATTGTGGAACTTGCAATTGCGAGCTAATGAAAATAAATGGAGAAAGTTCGCGAACGACACAATCGCAAAGTTACTCCATCTGTTTTCATTGGACGATCATTGTGAAACAAATATTAAAAAAAAGTATCAGAATTTAGATTAAAAAGATTCATAGATTGGTGACAATACGGGAAAATATATCGCGATATTTTATGCATACAGCGAGCATCTATCTATTGAAATTGAAATCAATTTTTCACACTGAATCTTTTTATAGATCTCACGTAAAATGTCGTATAATCTTTGAAAAAATCTCAATAATAATCTTGATGATGTGTATGGTTTTTATTATAATAGTCTAATTTTTATCATAATAATAATAAAATATAAATTTGAAAAGAGTAAATTATAAACTACAATTAATAATGTAAATATACATATATATAATTATAAATATATATGTATTTATCAAATATAACGATACTTTTCTACAAAAAGTTAATAAATTTTTCAATATCATACTACTTAAATTTTAAACGTTTGCCTATCGGTCTTAAGTGTTTTATGAGAGTTATCAAGATTAATCACTAATAAATAATTTTTTAAAAGTGAATTACATAAAAAAAGATTAGCGTTTGATTGTATGATTATTTTTTTAATTCAAAATGCGCGCACATTTTTATGATGTCGAATTAAGTAACTAACATAAAATCCGTGAGCTAGAGAGACATTGATTTCTATGAACGCAAGTGAAGCAATCTAAGCGATGATTTTGCGAATGCACGTTGACGTTTGGTGCATGATCCCAGATGCGATCGAAATTGAATGTACATAAATTAGCGCTATATTGCGAGCGAAATGGCGATTAGCATAAGGAAACAGTAAACTAGTGTATCCTTAATCGAAACGTATTGCATAGCAATAAGGAACCAATTGATTCGACAGATGACAAATTTCATTGGCAGCGTTACAAGACACGACAACGATAACACAGAATAGTTTTTTTTTTTTTTTTTATTTATAATTGAGTATTGTATAATTCAAGAGTTTTCAGTTGATTTATTTTAGCATTAATTGTAGCGACCTATATTGTCTTAAGTCTCTCAATAAAGTTTTTTATTTTCGGACTTTGATTTGCGCGAGATCAAATTGTGTTCCACTTTTCGTGTTTCTACGTTTCTTGGGATCTATACATTGTCGCGACGACAGCATTAAAATTATAGAACCTAATATTTTTTTTTTCGATTTCTGTCGAGGAAGATTATTGCCTAGTAAGTGGCATTTACCTGGATGAGACGTAGGGACGTGAGTGTCCATTTTACGGATGAGAGGTGGACTGGAGGAGAAGGAGGTCGTCACGGATGGACTTGAGGTTAAACACAAGTCAAAAAAATCACATAAAGATCATCCTAAAACCAAGATTCCAAAGGCAAAGATAACATCCGATCAGCACGCTCAAAGATATCAAGAGCCATTAGTGCGAAGAAAGCCTCTAGCACTCATCTTATCGTCCTACTACTCCATTATCTCATATTCACTTTCTTTTAATCCTCGAACATACACGAAACATGCTTCTCATTAACAAAATATCGGTAATAAATCCTATTAAATAAATCACGATACAAATAAAGATTAATCAATTCATACCTTTTATGTTTCGTTATGACTTCAATAATAGATGTTCATTAAATTACGTATAGTTATTGACATGCATATAATTTTCACCACATTGAAAAATATATTTATAACATATTCACTTCTTAGTGTGCAGTATCCCCGATTGACTTATTACAACACAGCAATACCCCTATTACGCAAGGATCCTACGCTAAAAACTCTTCCATACATCAAATTCATTGTCGTCAGAATACCCGTATTATATGAAATAATTGTTTTTATCTATTCCTAATGCTCTTCGCCATACACTTTAAAGTCGTTATAGTGTATCAAGACATTTCGCATAATTTACCAATGACGTCTCTGTTAATTACGAATATCACGATTTTTGTTACAATTCTCAAATCCTTTGAACCATACAGTTTTACGCTTCATGGAATAGCACTGTTGAACGGGGGTCGGAGCGGGAGCAAAGAGAGAGCGAGATCTTTTATTGCGATTCGACATGCTTTAAAATCTCGGTATCCGAAATAAAAAATATTCAATTTCTTTTTATTATAGTTAAAATTTTTTACATGTGAAAAAATTTTCACACATTGTGCTTATTAATGACTTTTAACGAGAAGCAATAATGCATTGATTCGCAAAAATGTATTATATAATTATTTATTTATTCATAATTGTTTTGATAAAGACATTTAAAGGAGAAAGAATAGATTTTGTATTTCAATTTGAAATCTCATTTTAACGTGTCGAGCCGAGAGAGATGATCAGAAATAATTTTTCATACACAAAGTGAGTAAAAGATTATAATTACTTAAAAATGAAAAATATAAATATCTATTTGGATATTTGCGCTCGTAATCTTTTATCACTTGAGACTTTTGAAAAAAGAGTCATGACAAATTGGCAATTTGTAAAAGATAGATAAGATTAAAAAAATGCCAAACGTATTTAATAAAATTTGCGATAGCGATAAGGGATAAGTGTAGTGGTTAGATATGGAAATATATTTATATGCATGTACGGTTGTATCTTTGTTAAAATGTAAATCCCCATGTATGTATATATAGTATGTATATATATTATATATATATATATATATATATATATATTTCAGTGCATCTAAGAAATGCGTATTGATTATATTTTTGGTCCACTTGCGTTCTGGCAAATGTACTTTCGCGATAAATTTGCAAATTTTTTAAAAGAGAATTCTGAGGAAGATAATTGCAACAACGAAAGCAGAGCTGATCAACACGTACGGTCGTGTAATATTTGTAATAATAATATTAAGATTACAGTTAAGGAATTATATAGAGTTACCCGTCGCGGTATGATTGCTGTTGATGGCACCATCTCAATTTTTATCCTCAGCGCTGATGCTATATTATTGTTCATAATATTGGTTACTGCGAGCCAAGAAGCCGGCGACACATGCATTCTTTTATAGCATAGAGATAATTAATATTAATAAACGTTCACATTTTTAATAGAAACATTTAGCGGAGTTATTAATTATTCACGAATTATCGTGTCATATTTTATTCTCTCTGATCTTAATCCTTTTTTCCTTTCAGCTCTAGTTTCCTGTTCGTAATTTTGGAAATGCGATATATTTGCTATTTTTTTAAAGAAAAAATTAGGCTTATTTAATTGTTAAGTCATAAATTGATAGATTTGTTTTTAGATAACGATTGCAATAATAATTAATACAATGATCTTGATTCTCGTTCCTTTCAGCTCCAATTTCCTGTTTGTAATCTTGGCAAAATAATATATATGCTTTTTTTTCAAAGAAAATTGGATTTAATTGATAAGTCACAATTTCACAGATTTGAATTGTTTGGATAATAATTGCAATAATTAATATACAACGATACACAGAATACAACGATTTATTACATCAAGATGAGATATGTACATTGTTGTAAAATCGTACTTTCAGAAAGCAGCTTCGGAAGTCCATGATTTTTTTAAAATCAAGCGGTAAGTATTTGTTTCTATATTATATATATGTATCGCTATTCTTATTCATTATTGATATTCTTGTTAATAATTTGTTACAATTTTATTACAGAATTAAAAATAGAGATACAAGTACAGAAAAAGTACTTTTGTACTTAATTATTTTCGATCCCATTCTATTTGTTAAAAACGTTTTAAAATTATACAACTTTTAAAATTATATAAATGTAGTGGAAATAGAAAAGTTTCATTTGAAAATGTATTATTATTCATTTAATTTAACTTTATCCAAAAAATTTTGTAATTTTTAATATACTAAATATTTTGACACACAATAAAGTTAAATATTGTTATTGCCCGTAGTTAATTAAATATAGATTTGTAGATTTCGGATATGTAGATTGTCTCTCTCGAGAAATATGCGTGTGATAATCGCGCGCGGTATCAATTATTTTTTTAAATATTCTTATCGAAATCTAACAATCTAACAACTTTTTATCACATCAAAAGCCCTGCAAAATTTATTATACTTACTCTATGCGTTATTATATCTATTCCGAAGAATTCCTACAATTAGAGATTGTTACTTTGATTTTACAATTGTACCGCTTTTTCGATGGCTTTTGTATACTAACTGTAATTTTGTCTCTACAAGTTACAGAGGCATATTGCGTTCCTCTATAAGAGAATCGCAAGGATAAACGGAATTATAATAATCATCTAAATTAGGATTAGCTTAGGACGGCTTGGTTTCATACGTATATAATTGTTTAAGTATCTCACGTTTTTTTAAGTTTTCTTTTTCGCACATAATTTATATATAATATTGTGTTTCGAATATCTTCTTCACTGTTTTGCTCTTTTATGTTCACATGTTATTTATATTTGTATATATATATATATATGTGCGTGTGTATATGTGTGTAATGTGAATGATATATTTAACCCGATAGATTAATGGAGAGAAATATAATATATTTTCTAGAATGATTTATTTTAGTTAAGCTTTATTTTCAGTCAACTTTTCATGCAAGATAGATTTATGTAATCTGCTTGATTTAAAAATTTATGAAAAAGTAATTTATTATATATGTAAAAATTTATTTCTACATTTTCTCAGATTTTTTATTCGCGTGTGTAACTTTTTATCGAAATATTAACGAATTAATTTTATTCACTATGATGTGTTTTTTGTTGAGTGTATTAGACTCGAGTCTTAAATTTTGGCTTAAAAACTTGGCATATAAATTTTATCGAGTCAAATGTACGATAATCTAATACAAGGAAAAAATTCTGATTATTTTAAACCGATAATGACAGCTATACCTGCACCATAAATTAATAATCGTTGTATTTCAAGAATTTATGAAATATTATGTATCAGTACAAAAGATATTCATCGTATGTCATTTTTATCTCTGTCATAAATTATGCTCGCTAATTTCAAACTTTTCTTATAATCTGCGACATTTCCAACAGCAATAGTTATTACACAAGTTACAACATCCATTCGTTACATTTTCGTATAGAATGTATTTATATGTGAGATTGAGTTTGGCACTTGTAAATGTTTATGTGATGGAACATTTATGACATCGTTGCCCTTTCGATTTCGCCTTGCTGTCATTTCCCTGTTCTATTTGCTTACGAACGGAATCTGAAATGAATGAAAAGAAAACAAACTTTCTTTGCAAGTGAAAACAATTCCCTTTTGCAAGAAATTTTATTCAATTCAAAGTTCAATCTTACAATTAGAAAAATTAGATTTGCTATTTTTATCTTTGGAAACAGCATTTGTGCTGTAATTATTATCATTATTATCTTTATAAAAATGAGGAATCTATTTTGCATATTATAGAAAATTTGCTGAGATATATATACAATAATAAAATACGAAAGAGATTACCAGCAATTGCTTTCTTATCCACCGCTGACAAAGCATCGCAGAGCTCTTTTGCTAATTGTACGTCGGGATTTAATCCGGAAGCCCAAATCATTAACATTCGAAATCCGTGCTCCTTGTAACTCGAGGAACCTACAATGGGAGCTTTATCGTCCTTTTCATAAAGCTGTTCTAGGTGCAGAATAGATGAACATCGAGGCACAAATCTCACACATATATATATAAACGGAAATTCATTATATGATAATTATCTTATATATGTCATAACACAGATTCATCTATTATTTTTTTCATTAATTATTTTACGATTCTTACTTTTGCACCCCGATGAGATGAGACCTATATTTTTATCTTTTCAAGGCAAATATCGAGAAAATTAATTCCATGTTTATTTTAGAATGGAATAATGATTCGCGACAAAGGAACCGAAATCTGTGTGACATAATGTCGATTCACCTGTATATTGATGCTCGATAGCTTTGATCTGATCAGGGGTGAAGGCCCAGTGAAGAGCTAATTTTTTCCAGTCGCCAGGCGCTAATTGCTTGTAGGCCAATTTCCAGAGAATAGATCGAACTTGTTCGGGGAGACGACCATTGTTGCTGGAGATGCTGCCACCGGATGATCCTTCTCTCCATCGCCTTCGCGCCGGAGTCAACTCTCGGACCTCCTTATCAGAATTCAAGATTTCCTAAGGTTCGTAGTCAATTTCCAGATTTTTTTTTACTTTATTACAATTAAACACTAGACTCGTGACTGGAGTATATTCAACATGAATATATCGAAGCTATCTGTTTGGAATTAAATTTGCAACAATATCATATTTATTCCTAGACGAATAAGAAATATCTCTGGAAACATTTGCTGGAATTTCCGCACACGAGAAATATTATTTAATATATTATTCTTACAATTAATTATCCAAGTTTTTAGATTAAAGTAGGAGTCTTAAGCGTCAAATTAGGACGAGCCTCACGTCGAAGGCGACGTGTATCAAACGTGCAATAAAAAAATGTGAACAAATTTCTTGTTGGCATACCCACCGGGGTCGGATAATCCAATCTCGCGGTTTTAATGATCATATCGACGATGGCCGTGAAACTGCCCCTTGCCGCAATATAAAGTGGCGTGCGACCGCTCTGCAAACGTCAAGATAAACTTTGCTTTAACTTTATTATCGAGTTTATAACAGCCATCAATCTGGCAACCCCTATCGCGTTAACTTCAGCGCGTGAGATTAGGGTAAAGCGTTCGATTCGAAGCTTTTCTGCAAATAGCACGACTCAATTTCCCGCGGCACGTGTCACATTGTCGACAGGATCGACCCGTGTCGTGTAAACGCGATAAACTTGTCGTCCAATAAATTAAGATTGCAATTAAGATTAAGTGTGTGTGTGTGTGTGCGCGCTGTTATATTATTGGAACTGCTCACATACGCAATCAAAATAGATCGAATCATTTCCAATAATTTTATGGAAAAAAATCTTGCCTCCCTATATTTAGGGATATATAAAAGACACCACATCAAGAAAATTCATATATTTTTATTAAAATATTTTATTGAGAAAATTCTAATTTAGTGTTTCTTTATTTATTTTATGTGTGGGTGTGTGTCATATATAATACATAAGTATTTTTATTAATTTTACCAATTCGTAGCCGCAACAATATTTCATGTGATCGATATTATTATTTTGATTGAAGTTGAAGTATCGTAATGTCGAAGGTTAATATTAAAGTAGATCTGTTGATTGACAAATTATATGTCAAAAGATATAATAATATATATGAGTATTACCATGTATTTATTATAATACTTTGTCGCTGTACTTTGATGTACCAAGATTTAATTAGATATTTTTTTATTTAGCTTATTGGTGCCTCTGGAATCTTCTTTTACATATTGCAAATTATATATTTGTCAAACGGGTTGAATAATTGATTTATAAACAAGGTTTAATTATTTAGCAACTAATTCATATTTAATTATAATTCTAGCATATTGTGAGCTCGGGATTTATATCGCAATTGTTTAATGGCAGACGAGTTTAATAATGAAATAATTATGTCTATAAATGATTAGTCAAGTGTTGATAATATGTTTGAAACATAAACGGATTGAGTTAATTATATTGTTAAAGGATATAATATATATTCGTTTCCATTGCGGATTCTATTTTGGATAGTATATTTACCTGTTCTTTTTGCTCGATATTCGCGCCCGCTGCAAGAAGTAATTCACAAATATCCGTATGTCCCATCTCGGCTGCAATATGTATCGGAGATTGAAGTCTCTAAAACAAATCGATATGGAAAACGAAGAAGTTAACAATTCTATTATAAAGCTTTTGATATCTCTCGAGTGGAAGTAGAAAATAATTGAAAATATGAAAATATGTATTATAACAAAATTTATTTGGAAATTGATGTGTGTAATATTATTGAAAAATTTATACAGTTTTATTTTTTGCTGCATTAAAAATATAATAAATATAATATTATTAAGAATACAGCTTTAGGTGCAAATATATAATTTATATATTTTACATACCAGATTTAAACAATTGAGATCGACACCTTTGTTAATTAATATTTCTACCGTCTCTACTTCGTTGTTTTGACAGGCCAGATGCAAGGCTGTGTTACCATTCTGCAATAGATAATTGAAAGAGAAAAAAATGTATTTAATTTATTCGATATTTTTTTTCAAGAAGTATCTATATTTTTCAATATTTTGATTAATTTGATTCGTTGTGCATCGTGCTTGCATGATTATCGAACGTATTTCTATGAACAAATATTGCGTCGACAAAATATTGAGAAGTATCATTATGCATGCAGCAGTTGGCACGGATTATATTTGTACCTTGCACTGCTTGTTAAGATCGGCTCCGTGCTGAATCATGGAGTCGAGTATTCCTTTGCATCCTTGACTCGCGGCAACGTGAAGGGGAGTGAAACCCTCCTGAAAATATAGAGAGATAAAGTTGATACAGATTAATCAGACGTGACGCAAACGCGTCTGTCATTACGATGAAATCTCATTGCCAATGAATTACGTTGATCCATTCAATTTAATAAGAAATAAAAAAAAAAAAAAAAAAAAAAGAAAAACTGTTTTTGCTGATAAATAAATAAAAATTCAAATATTTGACAATAGATATTCTTCTTACGTATGAATTTAATATCGCAGTTGAATTGATTTAATTTTGTCATGTCTCCTTTTATTGCGTCTTGTCTTGTTCACCTAGTGATTTCTATCTTTTCCCGTTCGTTAAATGACGTGATGTTACTTGATTATTCAATTTACCGCATCGGTTAACTCGGTATTCGCTCCAGCTTTTAATAATAATTGCGCTATCCCGGTGTGCCTCGTTCTGGTGGCTACGTGAAGTGGGGTATTCCCATCGTTATCCTGGGCGTCTACGTTCACGCCTAATCCTATAAGAACTTCGACCGCTTCCAAGTGCTCCTCGGCGCAGGCATAATGCATCGGGGTTTGTCCTTTCTGAAAATTCATTCAAATTTAATCGCGAAAGGTTCGATGAACCTTGAAAGCACGATGTACTTTTATACATTTATTATAAAAATTGCACGTTTAAATATATCATTATCTTTCTATATTTATACATGTAAGGCACTTTCGCAAGGATTTTAGCAAGGGTATTAACTATTTTTAGAATTAAATAAAATTTCGGTGAAAATAAAAACTGCGTGGAATTTTAGTAAAAATACTGATCATAATATTTGTGTAGAAAGTACAATTTTTTTGTTTATAAAACTTTTATATTTTATACTGGATGACAAAAATATATTATTCCATGTCCCTCTTACTATGGCATTGCAAAATATTTATTTAGCAAAAATGGAAATCATATAAAATTTAAATAAATAATTCTGTGAAATATCACACAACAAGAGAGAATCTTATATTCGTTATTATAACTTTATATCGATTATTGTGGTTTTATGTGGAAAACAAACGTGCTTTTGAATATTTTTTAATTTTTATGAAACTGATTTTTTAAATCGTTAGTGATGAAATTTTCTTATTTAGTAGATATTATAAAATTATTGAGATTTGATCATGAATTGTATTATTAGAAGATAATGGTATGTCGATGTTTTTTCTTTATTCCAAAGTGTGTATGTACGACCCTAATAGACGTCAAGTGCTATTTTCCGAGAAGATAGAAGGAATTGATCGCTTAAAATGGTTACTCGATACGCAAGCCATGCAGAACGTAAAGATGGAACAGACGGAAGATATCTCAGCGAGATTAAAATTCCGCTCACGACTGCGAAGAAAATCGAGGGATGCATGAGAGAGTAAATTGAATGGAAAAGCAAGAGTATGGAAAAGGAAAGAGATGAGAGATTAAAGTTCACGAAATCTTATTGCTCTGTAAAATATGCGTGTATTCGAGTTTATAATCGGTCGACTTCTGCAATCGGAGATTCTTTTTCTGAAAAATTTCATTTATCCTTTCGATAAAAAGAAGAGACACGTTAAAACAGTTTCTACATCGGAGATACATTTACGAAGGTACAGAGGGAGCGACAGATAGAGAGAAAGAGAGAAAAGGGACCCACTTTCCCGGGTCTAAATTGAGGGGAAAGATACCCTCTGTGACCTACCTACTCCATCTACCTATTTACCTACTTGTGAGCGTATATATGGTTGCACATGCGGAAATCTGAGCGGTTCCTCTTACCTCTAAATGCATAACAAACTATGTGTGTGTGTGTGTGTGTGTGTGTGTGAGAGGACACGGTCGATTGTTCCTGTCGATAAATTATAAATTCCCCTTTTGTCTTTCTATGCGCGATCGATATTGCACTGCACTACCCCATAGCCATTCACAATTCTCGGACAATTGTTGATGCATTTTCGCATTATGGCGTATAATATGCGTGATATGTGATAGTTTCGCATATCGGTGAAATGCAAAGGTTATACGTTTGAAATTTAATATATTTGCGATAATATAATTCCCATAACAAGATGCAAATAGAATCTGTTAAAATATGATTTTGTTAATTTTGATATCGGAGACAGATATTTGTATAAATATGATACAAAAACAGATCGCGACCGTCTCTATTAATTTAATTTTCGATTATTTGTTTACGTTAGATTTCTTCTTATAATTAATTTTTTCTTTCTTTATTTTTTTAATGAAATCGCTACGTTATTATTGATAAGCAACAGTTTTAGTTAAAAATTATGAAATCTCATTGAGAAAAATTAATAGTATTAGCTGATTTTTCAATGAAATCGTAATCAGTAAAAGACGGAGGAGCAAACTGTAAGTGTTTCACTGAAATACTCTTCGTTGAAATCTTTTCACTGCTTTCAGCGACAGTTTCATTGATTCAGTGTAAGAGAAATAATCTTAGTAAATAATATTATATCTATTTAAATAGATAATCTTCGGAACATGTTTAATTAGTATTTGCAACATCTAAATTTGAATGAAATTAAATGTACTGAAATAATTTTGCTTTTATTTCTCCTGCTTTTCACGAACTTTTATTATTACAAAACTGCGCACTCATGTTCGTTATATTACTTGGAGTTGAAGCAAAAAGCACATTTCCCAGGAGTAAACGTGTTTGTAGGGAGTTAGATGTTAGATGTCTATATTTCGCGTATCGAGAGGCAACTTGAAACGTTCCAGAGAGTGTCTGCGTCGCACGTCAAAGCCGATCTAGGATTATGGATAGATGCTTATTGTCGTGACGGTGTATATGAATAAAAGATGCCAGAGAACCGCATCGACTGGAAATGGCGAGAGAGAGAGAGAGAGAGAGAGAGAGAGAGAGAAAGAAAAAGATTATCAGAGAAACTGCATTGTCAAGTGATAACTGATTTTAGATAAGAACATTTTTTTCTTAGGAAAAAATCCACTTTTAAGTATGATCTTTGTCTCTGTCTGGTATTTTATATTATCTTATTGCTAAAGTTTGAGGATAATAAATTTTTCTTTATAAATGACGTAGTTAATCTTTGAATTAAACATTGCTTCAATCAATTTCACTTGAAATGTATTCTAAATGAATTCTTCTATGAATATATGTATATATTTGTAAAAATCAGTTTACAATACATCACAAAGTTATGTTCCAAAATATTGTTGTAGGCACTCATACAATCTAACCGAAAAATGCATAAAATTATGCATAATTTGCGTTGGTGCATAAATATTTTCCGAAAGAGAATTGATGAATAATTTATGAGAGGCAACTGCACAATGAATGTTCGAATGATGTTTACGCGGAAGTGATCGACTTTTAATTATATCAATGTTATGTTATGTAATGGGAAGCTTTGCGAGTAAAGTTTGAGATACCAAGATGCTAATGGATAAACGGATGATTATTCCTCGAAGCAATGAATAGGGCGAAATGTGAGAATCAAATTTCCAGATGTGGATTATATTGCAACGCGAAGTTCGAGAATCTGAGAGCAAAGCACGCCCGTATTGTGAGAGAGCATATTAGCTTATGTATTTTGGAATGTACGCGATGTGCATATACACTAATATGTTACTCAACGTCAAGACACGTAAGCCCATTTGCTGTGCATCACTTGTTCGCTGGTCTAATAACTTATACATGAGATATTACCCGGATTATAGAAAGCGCTGATTTTAGAGTGATTACCCAGAGATTATAAATTTCATTGAAGCAATAAGAAAATGAAATAAACGTGCGCAACTAAAATTAGGAACATTTTTAGACCACCATATTTGATATATCGACAATAGAGAACTATTGAGGTAGTTGTTGCGTGACTTCTGCAGTTTCTTTGACATCTCGTATTTCTTTTGCAGATGAAATACGTTCTTTCTATTTTTATATCTTTATGCAGCAATCAAATTTGAAAGCTTGTCTCAGTCACAGAAACTGAGATGATTGAGTTCTTTCGTTCACAACAACGAGAATGTGAAGTTAAAGCAATATCCGCGGAGATACAAAATATACGCTCTTATTTTTTCGCGGACTATTGGCAATTTTTACATATAAGATAAACGGCCCACTTTTCGACCTTTCAAGCGTGGCAAGGACAGCTATTTTAGATTTATAAAAGCAACGTATAATAAAATTAACAAATAATTCCATCGCGTGAATCAGAATTTTCTGTATAATACACATTTATTTTGAGAGTAAATAGAACTAGAAATTTTAATCAAATTATTTATTTAAAAATACCACTCTATTGTCGGGGTTTGTGACCCTCTGCTTTATATTACTAATTATTCATTTAAAAATGTCAGATTCACAGTGTTATTGATAATTAATATAATAATAATGAACGTGAAAGAAAAAATGAACAAAATGAAAATAAGTCGACCGGGTTAGAACTAACGAATGAAATAACGTATGAAAAATAAGCATTGTGCTTACCTTATCTGTAGCGTCGAGTACGATCCGTGGAATATTGGAGAGCGCCGTTATCACTCCAGGATGCCCGGAAATGGCTGCGTGGTGAAGTGCAGTCGCACCGGTGCAGTCGGTAGCCTCACCGTTTAACGATTCCACAGCTTCCGCGAGATAGTCCACCACGCTTACGTTGCTGCCGCGAGCACCACACATTAAGAGGGTGTATTGTTTCTAACCGGAAAGAGATCTTTTGTTTATGCTTCCGCAATAGAGAGGCTGCTTCGCAAAAGAAAATTCGCACTCGCTGCTTTTACATTATAAAGCGCGTAACATTTCTCTCTTGTAATTTTAATTAGTAAAAGAACCTCGCTGCTCCGTCTCTCCTCCGCGTGCAAGAGAGATTATTCTATATATAGAGTCCACGTGTGTGCCTTATTTTCTTATTCCATCAATGATTCGATTTTGTGAAGAGGAAAAGGAGGGAAAATGCGCGTTATTATTTAGGACCGATGCCAATATCAATATTGACACACTATTGATTTCAATTTCGTCGCGGTTTCCCGACGACGTATTTACTTTTTTTCACAACCTCCGCGCGCGAGATTTCAGTTTCAATATTTTCTATCGTATCCGATGATCAATAAACTTCAATTACACATACAATTTAATCCCGTGCAACATGTTCCGTGAATTGTCAGACGAAAGCTTTTGCGTTTCTTTTTTTAAATGAAGTTCTCTTCACACGATAGTTATATGCATTTTATACGTTCCATGCAAGTTTTGTGTATGCTTGACATTTTACTAGTATCCTTTCCTCGAGGAATAATTCGCTTTGACACGATCATTCATTTAAGGCGCTTAATTTAACTTATTGTTGTAGGATTATTAATGTACCTTATTAACCGCGGATACATTTGCTCCAGCATTGATCAACATCTTCACCGCGTCTCGGTGCCCGTGCTGAGCTGCCATATGTAAGGGACGCATTCCATACTTGAAAGAGAAATGAATAGCTCGAAATTAATGTTCCATAAGGAATTTCATCAAGTCAGCAGAGTCTAGATTAAATTCCAAAAGAAATGCTTCGAGAATATGTAAATGAGCTATTTATTTATTTATTTATGCAATTATTATTTTTACATCAACTTTTTATTTATTGTCGAAATGATAATGCTAAATCTCTAAAGAATACATCTATATTTCACGTAAAAAGTTTTCTATTTTTTTATCACGAGAAAATATTACGTTCATTGTTCTCGTTAATTTACTTCGCAATTATTTAATGAACAGTTTTAATTTGAAAAATGTGTCATACCTTATCTCTCGCTTCGATATCGCATTTAGCTTGTATCAACATTTCGATAATTTCCGTATTTCCTCTCGATGCTGCCCAATGAATCGGAGCGCGGCCATACTAAAATGATTTTGATAGTTTCAAAAATATTTCTTATTTTTAATGTAATTGTAAATTAATTTCTTTCTCAAATAAAATCACACTCAATACATCAAATAAAATAAAACAAATGACACATTTATTTTTATCTTTGAAATATTTGTAGCAACTTACATTATTTCTGGAATCTACGTCAACAGTCTCCTTAAGTACTTTACGAACGGTGTCCGGTTCGTTTTTTATCACAGCCTCATGTAGAAGAAGATCATTCTTAAGGACTGATGAAAAAGAAGATAGAAATTATTCATATTTCATAATGAGAAATGTATAATAAAAAAGATTCTCTTATTTTTTTGAAAATAATTGTTTATAAAATTGCTTTTTTTTTTTTATTAAGTCATTAAATTGTTTTTTCAAATAACGATATGTTGCCAAATGTTTTTTGCTTTTAACTTTTTTTATTAAACTGTAACAATCCACTTCCCGTAGTATGAATGTAAATGGAATGGTTTTTTAACTTTTTTTATATTTTTCAAATATTCAAAATTATGTATATTAATTTTTGTTAGCGTAACATAACTGTATATAAATTAATTTCTAGATTATTTTGTACTGATTTTTGCGAAATTATTGAAGTAAAACTTGAAACGAAAAGCGCGAAAAAGTATGGATTTAATTAATTTGTTACAGACTTTTCATTTTAACTTTTGACAGTCACAACGTAGCGCACGTTCTGTCGTTACCATTGCATATCGTTTTTTATAATTTCGGGTTGCACGAGTATCGATCGCGTAGAGTATCGAGGCGGAAAGAAGGAAGAAAAGTTGGAACGAACACGAGAACGTAGAGTGTTGTTAATTAATTGAATGGTTGATTTTGCAAACGTGCAATACAAATTGAGTATTTTTTCGTTTTTGCGTGTTAATTGCGTGTTGATAGTGGTTGCACAGTGTATAAATATTGATAAAATACATGCCAAATATTTTATAATATTTTTATAATTATTCCTTTCTATCATTTATAAAGATACCAAGCACCGTGAAAAATATATGGTTGTTGTATATGTAGCAGTTATTTTCAAACAATTATTTTTATTTTATTTATATACGTAAAGTAAGAGAGAATGATTAAAATTTTCGTACAATATTACAGCTATTATTTTTGTAATACATAAATTGTTATCAAAATTATTATAATAAAAGGAATATTTGTTTGAGATTTAAAGAAACGAAGAGTTGGCGCGGTTGCAATAAATCAAATAGAGTTATCAGTTAAAAAATCCAAGCAATTCAGTCAAATGTGTAATTCTCTCAGTTTTATAACATAAATCTTGAAGGGTGCATGTTTCGCTCTCTCTCTCTCTCTCTCTCTCTCTCTCTATTTCTCTTTCTCTCTACATTTTTCATATATTCACGTTTCACTTGGGATTGCCGAGACAGCCTTAAATCTTCGCATGCTTCGTAGCACATTTTGCATGGGGCGAATTCGTATTTTACTCACTTCTAGCAGTCTTTTGGTTCAGTACTTCGTCCTCGATCGCCTCGTTGAGATTCAACGGCGGAGGGGCCTTAGCCTTCGTTATATTCAACTCTTCCTTGTCCACCATCTTTCACTGCCGTTGTTCTGATTCTAGCATTGCAATCGATGCCGGGGTTTTCTCGGTGTCGTTACGCGATGCTAATGCATCTCGGGTTGCAGCTCAGCTGTTAATTATCGACGACCTAAAAAGTCAATTATTATTAAGTAGTAATGTGGATACGTATAATCGCAAAAATCGCAATTGAAAATACAAGTTTGAGAGAAACTTGATTTGAATTAGTAGCGCGCTTATGATAAAAAAAGAAATTAATCAATGGTTATATTTGGATCATATTTTAGAATAACATTTAATTCGCGAGAAAATTAAATTTTATAGAAATAAGATATTTTTAAATTAGAATTTAATTTAAAGTAAAAAAGGAATAATTTATTATTTTATATTTTCTGACAGATAAGTTACAATAACAGTTATTTATCATTATCTTGATATAAACGTTAATTTATTTTGCCTAGCAGTTATCAAAAATATGTCGAGTACTTGATACATTAAAAGTGGAGGGTAGAGCTTCGTTAAGAGGCGGTCTATTAAAATCTGCATATATATTTTGCAATTATGGCCATATTTATAATTAGTAAAATACATTAATAAAGCGAGGATGAATAAATCACGAGTATTATTCTAGTTTTATATTTCAATTTGTCTCATTTAAAATTTCTTCATTTTATCACGACAAAATATATTACTACATTTGTGAGATATGCGGTTACGATTGGATATGATTGGAATGAATAATATGTACCTATATTTCGTAGCTTGGTTAACAGAGTATTACATTTAATTTGTGGATATGTAATTAATTAATTCGTGGACTTCGATTTCGAAATAATATCAGGAATAACAGAATATGCTATTTTGATATCTGTATAAATTTTAATATTTTTAATTAGTCTGCACTACGATTATAATATATTTGCAAATGTTATTAAGTCATATATACTCGTATATATATTTTACAGGTATTTTAACAATACATAATTTGCTATATACGATTATTGATTAAACAATATTGAAATTAATACGAAAATACACATTAACATAAGAAAAATATGTATTCGCAAATGTTATGGTTAATCAGCAGAAATACGTTTGCTTCATTATCTCGGATTATATTTTTTCAATTTTAATTTTTATATTTTCATATTTTCATATTTCGTTCGCATTTCATGATGAATCACACAAATGAACCATATGCCATATTCATTTAAACGTTATATTTTTGCAGTAATAGATTGTATATTTAACTTACTGTTTTTTTAGATTTTCACAGAGTTTATTGTACAGTAGAGCTCATCCATTTTATCATTGTGCAAACACACGTACTCGTATGTAAGTGCAATCATAGAAATGTCTGTGATGTCTACTAAATTTCCCACATTACTCAGTCGCACTGCGATGAGAAAAACTTTGTCAATCTCTTTTTCTTCCTAAACATCTCCGGTTCGCTTAACTTCTGTCTTTCAGCTTATCCTTTTGACGTTTCCAACCGTGTTCCATTTTCGTAGATAAATATAGACGTTTAAATCAAAAGTGTTAGCTTTACGTAAGCACTGGTTTCATTAGTTCTGTACACATCGAATGTTCGCTTTCAAGTTTTCGTGTGTTTTCAAGTTGATGTCACAGTTAATAGTCATTTCACAAATTACTTAATGAGTGAGCCAAAGAAAATATATAAATTCGATTTTAGACACGTTATGATTGGATAGATAAATAAGCCAAATTTAAAATTAATTGATTCAAAAGAATCAATTTATAATAAATTTGTACGCTTCACAGACTGCGTTGGCTCTTATTGAATTTCTGAATTTCATTAATTAAAAGAATCATATTTTCTGTTCCACAAGATCATATTAATTTTTATGTATATATGTATAATTATTTGGAAAAAATGAAAGTCATTTAGATTGCAGGGTCTCCTTTTACAACATATTAGAAATTTCTCGTATAAGTTATAAGTTGAAACTCGCAAATTTCCAACTCGGATTAGACATATTTAATGCTAAATTGCTCTCTCGAATATATATGGTAAGATATAAAACTAATTCCGTCGATTGAGTTACTAATTTCTGATTTCGATCATATTTGTGGCAGCATCTCATAGATCTAACAATATTCCGCAGTTGAGTCAGAAGCTGAATTCGCGAAATCGCGGAAACTCTAACAATTAACTTGGAAATTCTATCAAACATCTTGACGTTTATCATCAAGATTGCAGGCCGTTAATTGGAAGTTGCACTTTGTTTATAATCACCTTTGGCAGCGTAATCGATATTCATTCTTTAAGCTTTATTTTGAAAGCGAGCGTGGCAATACATAATGTATAACGGTTCAAGTGGGATACGATCGTGTACAGAATGTGTTGTGCACAGAGTATTGGATGAGAATGTTCTTCATCTCGCGAACGTATAATGCAACACACAAGAGAGATTATAATATAATATATTTATGCTTAATTCTAATTCAATCCGCGAAGAATGCCTTTGCCTTCGAGAAAATATAGAGAAAGCGAATAACCGACTGGTTAGTTTTCGAGTTGGAGAATGCTTTTTATTATACTTCTCTGTCGCTTGGGAAAATGCGCTTTCATCCATGATACATTCATTCGTATTATAAGTTACGACTGCCGTCTGTTTAATGATTGATTGTGCATGACTTTATTGCACAGCCAAGGGATTTTCAGAGTTTCTCACTGTACATACATAATACGGTACTTCTGAAACTTCTGGACGTTAATTTGCATTTGTTTAATTCTGTATGCGATGTTGGATCTCTTGGTATAATTTAACAATTATTTTTACTATGTATATTTAAAACGTAAGAGTCAAGAGTATTAAGAATAATATCAAATATAAATATTAATAATGTCAACAATTTCTTCAACTCGAAATATATATAATTATTTAAAAATTATTGTACAACATTGTTATTATATATTATAGGATACACAACACTATTTGAATAATATTTTAGCGTTATATATCAGAAATTCTTAAAAGAATAATTTCATGATAAGATAAAGAAGCAAAATACAATGTTTCTGTTATACATTGTTAACTTTGTTTCTTTTTTGCCTTTTTAAAGTCCTTTATTTTGTTGTTTTGAAGCAAATGTAGTTTCATACGATACATTGTGTACATTGTTCATTTCATGGATGCACCATCAGAATGGCTTTTCAGCGAAGCATGTCCTTTCGTTAATAATGTAATATCAGACGATGTTTCCGTTTCCTGATCATCCGTTTCACAAATGTGCATTTATCCGCTTGGAAAGTAAATGTGTTATTCGCGTGCAATGTAGTTCCATGTAAATTGAATAAAACGTAAATGTAAATTACTGTATACCAAAGTTTCTCGAATTACAATGCATTATTATTTGAATTAGCAAATTAAAAGTTAGCATTTAACTGCAAATATAATTTCATAAATTTTATATCTTTTCGTAAAATTAAAAATTAAAAATGATAAACTATATATATATATATAATATATATATATATATATATATATATATATTATTAATTGTAGAGATTAAATTTTCTTTATTCAATTATTATTTGACTTACAGAAAAAAGAATATCTTATAAATATCATTTCTTTAAGATATATAAAGAAGAGAAATTGCCTGATTATTTTTATATTAGTATTTTGTGGAATAAATGCTGTTATTAAATTTGCAAAAAGAAGCAAGTCTTGAGCAAATTTTGCTCATAAATCTTTATCATCAAGAGGCGTTATCTCGAAATATATTATCTTCAGCTGTTACCATTTTTCATATTTTGCCATCACGTGAGTGTAAGCCGACATTTTTCTCTGAAAAGTCAAACCGGACAGCAACGACGCTCGACTTTAAAAAGAATTTCATACTTTTTCTTGTTCTCCTGGAATATGCTTCCTGAAACCCTTCATGACGTTTTTGTCTCATTAGAGTCTCTAGAGATTATTGTCTCTTCGTCCTATGTCATATCATATCGCAAAATCTCGTTATGCATTTATGCATTTTGCTTTATAAAGATCACATTGTGCTAGTAAAATATCTTTTTGTAACATGGATAATGAGATGCAGTCGCTTGGGAATTTTCAGAAAAAGATAACATTTTACAAGATTGCATCGACATTTATTAATCACTCTAGTCGTGTCATTTTTGCACGTTTAGTTTTTACAAGTTTATTGCATGTTATTATTACATAATCTTAATATGAAATTATTTGTTACAGAGAATATTCGATTGAGTGTGGCAACTTAATACAGTGTTAATACATATTATAGGTACAAAATTTAAAATAATCTTATATAAGATATATATCAAATTGTATATAAGATAAAATATAAAAACAAACTAGAGTACTCTGATATTTTTTTTATAAACTTCATTTTAATATAATATCATATTTAAAATGGATTTCCATAAATTATATTGTAATTTCATTATTTTTCAAATACTATATTTAAAGAGACTAAAATGTAATTTTGTAATGGAATTGTTCTATTTTAATATTGATAATTACGTGTGCGATTTGCTTTGTAAGAAATTTATACAAAATGTAAATTTTGTAAATTAAATATTTTTTTATATACAATAATTTAATATTACATAGATTTAGTCTCGAGAAATATATATAATATATAGATCAAATGCAGCGTTTAATAGGCAAGAAATGACAGATGCATAAATTGGATTTTGAGGAATGTTTGGAAGTGTGCTATTGTTCTCCCAGAACAATCTATTGTCAACATATATACGGTAAGATTTTGGAGCTTTGAAACGCAATGGTGCATTGATCTCTTGAATACGAATCAGAATGTCATGGCCAGATATAATGGGCGCATGCTAAATTGAAGATGAAATATGGGCGAAAAGCTATTTTTAATTATTCCAAGAAATTATATTTGATATATCTCTCAATTAAAATGCAGAGGGAAATCAAATAATTTCGTAAAGGTCAAATTAAAAATCGAATTCCACTTATTGTATATAAGAGTTTAATTGAAATATCTTAAATATATAACTTTATTTCAAAACTATATTCTGATATGATTTAGAGAAAGTTTTAATTAAGAGTTTTAATTTGTATTTAATATGTTATTCTCTTACGAGAATGATATTATTTTTAATATTAAAATTTT